AAATAATAGTTATTGAATTGGTTTTTATTAATGAGTTTAAGTGTTCCGCATTACTTATGTTGATATTACATTGAAATGTTAAGGTCTAGATTGGTTGGTTCGCTCACATAGGAGGGTAAGCGTGGGTGCCAGTCGCGGCTCGGATTTGAGTTGTGACAAAATACATGTAGAGATCTACTTTAAATTGATATTATTATGAAAGTTGGTTTTAAATCATTTATTAAGTGACACCCTAAATGCCTTTTTTGAGTTCTCTTTAATAGAATGTTTCTTCTTTTATTTGAGATTGATGAGTTATGAGAGATAAGGAAGAAAGAAATATTATGAAAAAATTGAAAGGGAACAATGTTGTAATGATTGATTTCCTATTTGAAATCACAAGGAGTAGCATTTATAATAAAAATTGGTTGAAAAAGAAATAAATTATTTTCTCAGTTTCAATTTAAGTTTCTTAAAAAGAAAAATCTTTTAATAAGTTTTCAATCAACATTATTATATTATAAAATTTAGATTACTATAAACGTTTTTAATTTAAAAGTTAAAAGTTAAAATTCTTTTTTATTTTTTAAATTTTGTGTTCAATTAAATTAAGATGCTTAAATTAAAATTGAGGGAAGCAGTAATTTTCTCTCGAAAGAAGTGTTATCAAAGCTTCTTAAGAAGTTCACCAAACAAAACTTTCATTACTTGGACTTGGTTATTTGGGGTTTGCAAAATAATTTGAAAATTACTCAAATATACTTCTTACGTTTTTTTTATTTCTAATATTTCCTTCTACTTTTTCAAAATAATTAAAAAAATTTATTTCTTTAATGTATTCGAGCTACATATTAATTTTTTTAAGTCAATATTAATGTATCTGAGCTACATATTATGTATTTGATGTATTTTATAATATGGACTAGCTTTTAATGTATGTGAGCTAATTTTTAATATATTCAAGTTGCATATTATGTATTGTGTTTATGTCATAATGTATCCGAGCTACATATTTACAAATTTAATTTATGTTATTTTTTAAGAAATTAATATAATTACAAACTAAAAAGGAATAGATTGTAATTTTATATTAAAAATTTAAAACTACGTAATTCCCGATTTTTATCGTAACTTATTATTTTGCAATGGGCTTCATGGGCCGAAGGAGACAAGAATTGACATAACGGCACAACTGCTGCATAGAATTAGCAATTTATAGCCCAACTTTACTTTAGACGCCTGGGATGAAATTTGCACAAATTTATAGAATGATTTGAGTCCGATAGTTATATATTGTCTCCAATTAAGTGACTTTTGTGAGGGTGAAAATTATTTACATTCCCGAACTTTCGTTTAAAAATCAATTTTGCTTTTCAAATTTGAAAAAATACCCATTTCACAACATATCTTCGTCCCATGACACTTAAAAAATATACTTTCACGCTAAAATTAGTTTTGGAAAAGCTACTTGTCCAAATTTGATTCCATAAAATCGTACAATTTTTTTAAGGTCTTAGTTATCTACTCATATGGTCAAGTTCATGATTAGATCTTCCATTTGTAACCACATTTTCCTAGACCTCACTGACTTTGATTTCATCCAAATCTGGATTAGGTTGAAAAATGTCGAGTTACTATCAAAAAGTTTTTCGATTAAAAAATTTTCCCCTTTGATTTTTTTATAACGACGGAAACAGTTCATTACAGCTCGAGTGTCATGTTAATTGTCATGTATAACAAACGTGTTTACTTATTACTTTATATAATTTTAAATGTTCATTTATACACGCCGAACGTGAATGACAATTGAAGTCAAGTTTAAAAAACATATTTATTTAATTATGTTTATCTCTTATTCTCTATTATCTATGTTGATAATGTAAGTAGGATAGACATTTTTTAAAAGTCAATTAAGAAAGCGGGAGGTAGGGAGGGAGGGGTGATGATTTCTCAAAGTTGAGTGAGGAGTTAAATTTTTAAAGTAAAATTAGAAAATATAAATTATTTTCACCACCCCTTTTGTAAATATGATGAATTTAGTCAAGTAATCTTATAATTGAGTTTTAAGTAGGGGCGTACATTTGATTTTTCGGTTTGGTTTTATATTGTTCGATTTGGATTTTTAATTTTTAGTTTTGAAAAAGTGTAATCCAATCCAAATCAAAATAAATTTGGTTTGGTTTGGTTTTTCTCTTTTTGATTTGGGTTTTTTCAGTTTGGTTAATCACTTATGTCAATAATTAGAAACATAACAAAGTTATATTAGCAATTTTAAAAAAATTATATTATATAATATTGAATTTCTTAAATATTTTTTAAAAATATAAATCACAAGTAAAACGTAAAGCACACTTCAACTTAATTCTAAACACACACATATATATATATATAAAATTCAATTTTTTTTGATATTTTGATTTTTATTTTTCTAAATCCGAACCAAATCAAAAAATAAAAAAAATTATAAATTCAAAATCAAACCAAGAATCGAAAAGACAAAGTAAATTATTATGCCAACAAACTCAGTCTCACACAGGCAAAAGGTACTTTGGTGCTACATAACTGGAACATTGATTACATTATGCTTGTTCAACTATGCAAATTTGGTAGATGACGAAATCTTCTTATTATTGAATTGATCACAAGTTTAGCTGGATGAAAATGTCTTAGTGGTTCAGTCCACAAATGACATTAAAAAAAAAATTAGATTTTGAACTTTTGATTTCCGTTTGTTTCATATCGAAATTTCAAAATTAATAATATAACCAAAATTTTGAACTTCGATGGTTTGCTCATTGATAATGTGCCCGTCCCAAAAGCTAAAAGTTTGGACAAAGCGAGTAACATATATGAATTAAAATTATGTTTAAATTATTATAAAATTATAATAATATAATTAAAAATTTAAAATATTTAAAAAACTATATAAAAATTTGATTAACTCTCTTAATATTACTTGCACCAAATGAATTTAAATAAATTGAGTTATATATTTTGAGCCCATGCTTTATACGAACTCATATATATCTAGTACAACAAATACATAAACTTACAAAAACGTGCTTACTAGCATATAAAAATGTCTGTAGGTCTACACTGTTATACATGTTAAATAAAAATAAGAAGTTGGACACAAAGTCTCTCGAGGAATCGATATAAACATGTAGTTATGATTTCAAAGATTTATTTCAAGAATTCAAGAAAAAATCAAAAAAATCTGCAGTAGCAGGGACCATTTAATTTTATTTAAAATATTAAAAAAATATTCGATATTGCTAGCCAGCAAGTACAATGCATGTTAACTTGTGTTGTTGCTTTCAGAAACACACCCAATAATTGCAATCATGCCCGACTTTTAATATTATAAATATTTTTCGTTAGTCTCCTAATATATATATTTTAATATCTAATGAGACTATTTATTACGCATTATAAAATGTAATTTTTTTTATAATTTGTAAAGTGATTCTTTTCTTATACTTTATAAAGTGAAACTTCTTCTTATACTTTATAAAGTGAAAGAAAAAAATTATGTTTTACAAAGAGAAATATTTACGCTTTTGAAACTTTTGCAGTCTTTGTATTATAATTATAATGATTTAACATATCATAAAAATAAAAAAATTTATTACATTATAAATTTATTACATTATAGGGATTGTTTGATTCAGTGTATAAAAATAATGCAAAATAGAGTGTATTTAATAATGCTTGCATTAGTTATGCAAACATTATTTCTTATACATTATTTGATTTGATGTATTAGAAATAACAAATATTGCATAATTTCTATTTAAAAATATATATTTACAAAAATACCCTTCACACTTTATTTATTTATGAGTTAATAATTTTGATGATCACTCCACTACCAATTGTTTATACAGAAAGTCACTTAAATTTCATTTTCAACTCAAAAATTACTCAATTATGATTTTTTTACACAAAAAGTCACTCAACTTTTATTTTCAACTCAAAAATCACTCAATCATGACTTCTTTGCACAGAAAATCACTTAATCTATTTAATTATTTTTTATTAAAATTTAGTGACATAAAATTTCAATTATTAACTAAAATGAAATATATTTCAAACCACATAATTTAGTAAAATATTTATATAAGTTAAATCGTGATAAATAAAAATGAATAGACTGAAAATTTGAAGTTGACGATAAAAGTCAAATGACTGGCTTAATGTCAATATTGTAGTGCTGCCATAGAGACATAATTGTTTTTTTTTTTATAAAGAAAAACAAATTGCCATCTTTCATATCTTATCTTGATTAACTATTTTCTGGCCCCCAAAACTTTCTTATATTATCACTTTAATTTTGAAAACATATAGTATTTAAATATATATTACTCTCGTACCCTCTCTTTATTATCTATATAATACAAATAAAAATAAGAAAATCAACCTAATTTTTCAGATAATTTTTATATATATTTTTAATTATCAATTATTATAATTAATAGTAACTTTTATGTAATTTACAAATAAATATATGTTATTGTATCAATTTCAATTCACGTTGTATCGATGGAATTTCAAAAATCAAACCAAAAACATTGTATATTGTTTAAAGAGCTGTCTTTAATTTTCATACTGTTTAAATCCAAAAAGAAAGAAGGAAGAGTTAAAAATTATTATAAATCAAAATACTAAATCAGTCGAAAGAGACGAGTCAAGCAGACATGTCGAAGAGCATGTGCTGCCCTGTCTATATAAGAGAAAAAAAACAATATCGATAGTTTTCCTTTGCAAGCGGGTTGCTTCTGAGTTGGGAAAATAAGTAAAAAATTATGGCGATGGAAGAGCCGCTGCTGCTTAATTTGGAGGAAGACGATGTGAGGGTGAGCCGCAAAGTGTTTATTGAAGAGTTGAAAGAGGCGAGTCGAATAGCTTTGCCTATGATAGTGGTGACAGTATCACAGTACCTTTTGCGCGTTTCGCCAATGATTATGTTAGGTCACCTTGGTGAACTTTCACTTTCTAGTGCTTCTATTGCTACCTCACTTTGCAATGTTACCGGTTACAGTGTCCTTGTAAGTCTCCTTTAACAACTTTTTGCTTCCAATCATTCAGCAAATACAAATGACTTTGACCTTTCGATGCAATTCACATCTGATTTAGCTGAGTAGGGAGAATATTCGTCATCAAATTTGATCAGACAAAGTAGTTTTTGCAACTTTTTTGGGTTCTGTCAAACTAACCCATGTAGTGTTGTTTAGTAGGCATATTGGTCACATAGTCAATAGTTGCTTAAACATAGCAATAACCATCAGGTGTAGATTTGTTGTGTATTTTCTGGCCCAACTGCAACGTGATAATGAAAGAAAGCAGGAATTTGAAAGTATTTGTTGCTAATATCTTTGATATTCTTACTTTATTCAGGGCATTGAGATTTATAGTTAATACATGTTGTCAACTAGATGTGTAGAAGATGTTGCTTGACATATTCTTGGTAGTAATCTGTTCCGAGGGATCAGTAAGAAATCCATCCTTTTGTTCTAAATGGTAAAGGTGCAACAAGGCTTTGGTAGTGACTGGAAAATAGAACTGATCATTGGCCTGTGATGGCTCTCTTCTCTGACAAATGGAAGTTTGCGTAGATGGTTTGACATGTTTTACTTTTGATTAAGAAACAGGGGAATTTGTGAACGGGGCTTATAGCCTTATGTCTTGACTTATAAAAAGAAAAAAATGATAATTTATTAACACAAATGGCTTGGTTGTATACCTTTTGTTATCCTTTGTATAGATGAAGAACGTTTATGAAAAATCATCGTGGATTTACTTTGTGGAACAGTTTGGAATGTCTAGTGCACTGGAGACTCTATGTGGGCAGGCCTATGGAGCAGGACAATATCGAAAACTTGGAACTTTTACTTATAGTGCTATTATTTGTCTGTTTCTGGTATGCATACCAGTCTCTGTTCTGTGGATTTTCACGGATAAACTTCTTATATTGATGGGCCAAGATCCTTCAATTGCAAAGGAAGCTGGAAAATACGCAATTTGGCTCATTCCTACACTATTTCCATATGCTATTCTTCAGTCAGTTGTCCGGTATCTGCAGGCACAGAGTTTAATCCTACCAATGCTTATAAATGCAGTTGCATCTTTATGCTTCCAAGTGGCAATTTGTTGGGCTTTTATATTCAAATTGAATTTAGGGATTGTGGGAGCAGCATTGTCAATTGGTTTATCCTATTGGTTGAATGTGATCTTGCTTATGCTTTATGTGAAGTACTCATCGGCTTGTGAAAAGACTCGAGCTTCATTCTCTACGGATGTTTTCCTGACTTTAGGGGACTTCTTCCGCCTTGCCATCCCATCTGCTGTAATGGTTTGGTAATCTCAATAGAAAAACATACATATATGCATTGTGATTGAATTTATGCTTGACCCTTAATCTATTTCTTCAACTTTTTTTCCGAACATGGTTATAGCTTGGAATGGTGGTCATTTGAGCTTATCATTCTAAGCTCTGGTCTGTTGCCAAATCCGATGCTAGAAACTTCTGTACTTTCCATATGGTATGCTTCGTTTTCTACTTGATCTTCGTTTGTTTTTTTCCTTCAGATGTTTGAAATGGTTATATACTGATGCATGTCATGTTCTAACTTCTTGGAGAACAGCTTTACAACCACTTCTGTGCACTACCATATACCTTATTCTTTCGGTGCTGCAGCAAGGTCTGCTCCTGTCCTATAAACCCAACATTAATTCGATATTGTTAGTTGCATAGAGATAAACATGCAAAATTTGAAGTAATTAATATTGTATGCAGTACTCGGGTTTCAAATGAGCTTGGAGCTGGGAGGCCACAGGCGGCGAAAATTGCTCTCGTTGCTGTGTTAGTTCTTTCTGCCACTGAGGTTGTTCTTGCAAGTATAACTCTATTTGTGGTCCGTAATGTATGGGGCTATACGTTTACTTATGAGAAAGAAGTGGCCACTTATGTTGCAGAAATTACTCCTGTTCTTTGCATATCAATTATCATGGACGGCACCCAAGCTGTACTATCAGGTTATCTATTCGACCATCCTCAATTGCTTTATTTCCAAATTGCAAATTTTTATTGAGACCCAAAGAGTCATTCCAGCTTTTAAACTTTGAAATACAATAAATGAAATTGACCAACAAGAGAACAAGAGCTGTCTCCCCATGCCTTCTAGTGTTGCTTGCTCATTGCGTCGGAAGCAGCGGCAGATTTGTAGCGTATTGGATGCACTTAAAGGAGCCCACTTTGTTTATTTAGATTATAGATATATAAATGTGAAATCTCCAAAATTAGTACAAATTTAATATGTTTGAACTCATATATTTCAAGAATTTAAATCGTGAATCTGCCTCTAATCAGGAGTTGCTAGAGGAAGCGGGTGGCAGCATATTGGAGCCTATGTGAACCTTGGAGCATATTATTTGGTTGGAATTCCCGCGGCTCTATTTCTTGGATTTGTCTTACATCTAAACGGCAAGGGTCTTTGGAGTGGATTGGTGGCTGGAGCAACTGTGCAATCTATTTCACTCTCCGTTGTCACCGGCTTCACCAATTGGGAAAAACAGGTTCAGACCTATTCAACTCTTACCTTGATTTGTTACTGGAGTTGACACTTCCCTTTGGTTATTGTTACGTGTCCTGCATCTGATGGCATAATAAGAACTGTTTTCCTTATATAAATTTGGGCAATCCTCACCTTATGCCTCGCTTACACGGTTTAGCTAAGCCCAACAAGAGAGTAGGAAACCCCTTATTTTGGGGATATAGAAGCTACCTTATGGCTTATGGGAGTTTAACACTCGTGCATTTTGAATTTACAGGCCATTGAAGCAAGACACAGAATTTTTAGTGAAAAGCTTGCCACGGAAAATCAGCTCATTGAATGACAGGACAGGCGGATGCTATAATAGAGAGTTAATATCCTAAAAGGTCACTCGACCATGAGAATTTTATCTTAGCAGATTGATTGAACTTTGGTTAGTATTATTAAAATTACTCAACGTAGCTCAACTACATTTATCATTAAAATAAATAATTAATAGAATGAAATAATCTTCTTAATACTCGTCCCTTTTATTTATGATTAATTCTTGAACACTCATTTCTTTTGTTTAAATTTGGAACTGTTGTACAATGTGAACAAATTCACATAAATGGAAATTGGTCGCAACTCACAAGTTTGGCTGGATGAAAATGTCTTATCGATTTAGTTCAACAAATGATCTTAAAAGATGTTGATCTTGACTTTTGATTCTGCTTGTCTCGTAACAAAATTTCAAATTCGGATTGAGCAAAACTTTGGACTTCCATGGTTTTTTGCTCATTGATAATGCTCCTGCCCTCAAAGGCCAAAATCTGAAGACCACTTGCTTTCATTGCCACAAATTTTTGTCGAGTGATCACAACATGGCTGGTATATAGGCATGTTAAAGAATAGGGTAACTACGCCCTATTTGTTAGACGGCGAGGTTATATATACACCATTTATTAGAAAATAAAAGTATATATGTATCACCTTTTTTTTTAACAAGAGGTATTTTCATTCTAAATCGCAAAGAAAGAAATGTTGTATCGTTATATATGCAATACTCAATTCTTTGCATAGATGGAAGGCTGTAAATAGTCTAAATTTTTCTTCTGTTATATCAAATAAGTTTATGAATTTTTTTAATCAAATTTGCTTGCTTAACTGAATTTTAGGCTGACAACAATCAACATAAAAGAACGATAGAAATAAAAATAAGGAAAAATTATCTAAATGTTTATCTTATTTTATTATAAATTTTTAATTTTAATTTTTCTATCATTTTTTTAAAGAAATCCCCTCTTGAATACATCATTCTTCTCTTGTTGATACATCCATGTACCCCTCTTGGATACATTCGTCACTTATGTATCTGGATGTCCGGTGATGTATCCGAATGTCCTATTGATACATAACATCCTTCATCTAATGTATCTAGAAGTCCATTGATGTATGCGAAATTTATAATTTCAAGAATTTTTTGTAATTTGAAAAAAAAGAAGAAATAATGTAATTAATTCTTTAGCACTATGAAATTTATGTAAATTATACTAAAATAATATAATCAAAATTGCTTGAGGACAATATATAAAAAACATATAATCCTCTAAAATTATAGGCCCACATTATATATGAATCCTTTAAATAAAAATACTAGCTTTGTTTAAAATTCAACCGAAATCAATAAACCGAATCGATAAAAAAGTTGTTGGTTTATAGTATTGAGTTATTGGTTTTGTGGTTTTGATTACGATTTTGATTTTTCTTGTTATGGGGTTATTGGTTCTTAATGGTTTGAAGTTTTTTCTTAACGGGCTAATCGATAACGTGATAGTAAATTAAATAATTATATTTATATTATTTTGTATATAAAGTCCTCAACTTAGAGTTTGATTTCCTACTTTTATTTTTGGTTGTCTCAAACACTTGGTTATTCTACAATGTAAAAGAGTGTGCTTTTGAGCAAGATGTAACTTGTGAACTCAAGTGCATAGTTTATTTGATTTGTCACCTTGTTTCTAAGTGATTTTAAATATTTATTCTTTTGTGTCAAATCTTAAAAGTTAAACCGATAACCGAACCGATAACAATCAAAAAAATGATAAACCAATAACCCATAAGCCAATATCTTAATGGTTCTATAACGATTTAGCATTCCCACAAACCGATACAACCAATAAGCCAACCCGATAAACTTTAAAACCGAATTGAATCGATTGACACGCAGCCCCAAAAAACACAAACATGCAAACAATAAAATACAGTATCTAATTGATAGATCTGTTATTGATTATGACTAATACTAAATACTAAATATAATTGCTTCTATTTTACATAAATGTTAAGTCAATTTTTTTTTAGTTTAAAGCAGCAAATGTTAGGTCAAACTTTAAGATCACGGAGCTGTCCTTTGGGAAAATGCACAAGTATCTCCTCAATCTATGTCTGAAATTTTAGAGTCATATTTATATTATATTAAGGTACTATTACCTCCTCAACTTATTTTATAAGTAATTTTCTACTTCTTTTCGCCCTACGTGGCACTAGCTTGAAAAAAAGTCAACCAACGTCGGACCCACAAGATAGTGCCACGTAGGTCGAAAAGGGTAGAAAATTATTAATAAAATAAGTTCAGAGGTAATAGGACCTTAATATATAATAAATATATTTCTAAAATTTTGAACATAAATTGAGGATACTTGTACATTATCCTCATCCTTTTAATAAAATCACTTTGAAATATAATATTTACTCCCCCTGTATCAACTAGCAAGTTATATAAATATAACATTGTTTAATATGCCACAAAATTTAAAAAAAACAATAGAATTCTAAAATTTGTAATCTAAAACAATTTAAAATATTTGAGTAACTATAAATTGTTTCATAATATTAAAATAATAATTTTACAGTTCAATTACTTTTTATTATCAAAAGATGATGTTCTTTTTTAAATAAATTAAAAATTAAAAATATGTTACATAAATTAAAAGTAATAAAAAATATTAGGAAAAATGTAAAGTACCCCTCAATCTATGTCCGAAATCTCAGAGATACACTTATACTATGGTAAATTCTATTATCTCTCTGAACTTATTTTTTAAGTAATTTTTTACTCCTTTTCAGCTTACGTGGCACCAGCTTGAAAAAAAAATCAATCAGCTTTTGACCCACAAAATAGTGCCATGTAGGCCAAAAAGGGGTAGAAAATTATTAATAAAATAAGTTCAGAGAGATAATAGAATTTACCATAGTATAAGTGTATCTCTAAAATTTCGAGCATAAGTTGAGGGGATACTTATGTATTATCCCTAAACTAAAAATATTTTAATTTAATATTTATTATATATTGTTAATTTAATATGATAATATATATTTCTTTGACATAATATACAAACATTATTCTTAAATTGACTTCAGTGAATGACTATGTCCTCCAACTTTTAGTGTACACAAATACACACTTAACTTTGTTGTAAAATTAAACAAATAACATGTATTCTACGTGACATAATACACGTCAAACTTGATGCCACGTAAGACACAAAATTGCCATGTTGGTGAATGTGTCTATTTATTTAATTTTATATAAATTTAAATGTCTATTTGTACATATCCAAAGTTAAAGGTCAGATCATGTATGACTCTTAAATTTCACGTTGGATCAACCAAAAAGGGGGAGGAAGCATATTTATATGGGAGTCGTGACTAGTTTTTGAGTTATAAACAAAATTGAGTTATATTAACTCGTCAATTTAATTATTTTACGAAGAAAGAGAGAAAGAAGTATTATGACGGAGGAAGAGCCGCTGGTTAATTTGGAGAAAGAAGATGTGGTTGTGACAGAGAAAGTGTTTATTGAAGAGGTGAAAGAGACGAGTCGCATTGCTTTGCCTATGATAGTGGTGACAGTATCACAGTACCTTTTGCGTGTTTCGCCAATGATTATGTTAGGTCACCTTGGTGAACTTTCACTTTCTAGTGCTTCTATTGCTACCTCACTTTCCAATGTTACTGGTTACAGTGTTCTTGTAAGTCTCATTCTATCCATATAGTTTATTAAACTCAATTGATATTCAAAAACATATTACTATACTTTATATTATTATTCTGTTCCTCGGGAGCAATTCCTTGGTGTATGCTATTTGCATACAGTATAGTGTTCTGATCGATGACACATTGGACGGAGTTAATGCTAGGTTCTGAAGTCCAAAGGGTTCACGTTGAGCAAGACCAAAACTAAATATTTCAATGTTGCGTCACATAATTAAGGCAGTCGTAGAAGTAAGGCTTGTCACACAGATTATTCTCACGCGAAAATGTTTCAAGTATATTGGGTCTATGACGATGATGTCACACATTGCATTAGGGATACATGGATGAAATGGAAACTTGTCTCTAGAGTCTTGTATGATAAAAAAGTACTATCTTTAACTTAAAAGGGGAGTTCTATAGAGGGGTGGTTAGACTGCCCTTGATGTATGTGTTGGATTGCTGACTAGTCAAGAACTCACATGTGCACAAGGTGCATGTTGCGGATGTTGAGATGATGTTTGGAGAGATAAGATTAAGAATAAGGTTATTCAGGAGAAGGTAGGAGTGGTTTCTGTGGCGGACAAGATGAGAGCACGAGATTGAAATAGTTTGGACATATGTAGAGACCCCACTGAGGAAATGCGAGAGGCTGGTTGTAAAGGGCACACTGAGGGGTAGAGATAGGTTGAAGAAGTACCGGGGAGAGGTGATAAGACAAAACATGATACATTTTCATATTACCGAGTATATGACTCTAGATGGGAAGGAGTGCAGGTCACGAATTAGGGTAGAGGGATAATAGTCTTAGTACTAGTCATACCCTTTTAGTTCCTGCCACTTATTGTGTTTTCTTATCATACTATTTTGATGTTTCTTAATATTCCTTTCTTATAGACTTTGGACCGCTTTTCTAATTAATGACTATGCTTTTTTTTCATTGTTTTATTCTTCCGCTACTAGAGTTTAATATATTTGAGCCGAGAGTCTTTTGTTAACAACCTCTCTATCTTGACGAGGTAGTGATAAGGTTTGCATACACTCTACCCTCCCCAGACCATACGTAGTAGGATTCACAGGTTATATTGTTATTGTTCTTGCCGTTGGATTATTGCTCCATGTCTTGCCAATAAAAAAGGAACTTATTAACACAAAGATCGCTAGCTTGCATACCTTTCTTATCCTTTGTATAGATGAAAATCATCATGGATATACTTTGTGGAACAGTTTGGAATGTGTAGTGCACTGGAGACTCTATGTGGGCAGGCCTATGGAGCAGGACAATATCGAAAACTTGGAACTTTTACTTATAGTGCTATTATTTGTCTGTTTCTGGTATGTATACCAGTCTCTGTTCTGTGGATCTTTACGGATAAACTTCTTATATTGACGGGCCAAGATCCTTCCATTGCAACTGAAGCTGGAAAGTACGCGATTTGGCTCATTCCTACACTATTTCCATATGCTATTCTTCAGTCACTTGTTCGGTATCTGCAGGCACAGAGTTTAATCCAACCAATGCTTTTAAGTGCAGTTGT